TAAACACAACTTAGGCTAGGCTAGGTAAAACAAATTGTCCGCCGTTGGAACAATCATCGTTGTCATATACACACACACACCAAAATACATCCGTTTTTCTTTCATATTAAAACACGCGCCTGTATAAAATTACTAAATGTATATACACACAGAGATCACACTAACGTGATGCATCAAATGAACAAATCCACATCATCCAAATCCTCGTCACGGCCCTTGTGGATTTGTTCATTTAAATGTATATAGATACGGGACATGAATGTCTTTGACAAGCCGCCGGCTTCCTGTTTTCGGAAGGCCACCAGAAATGCCCTCAGGTAAATTCAGGTATTTTTAGCTTAGTTTATTTTTTCAGAATAGAGAACGTACTTCTTAAAATAAAATTGAAGGTTCGCAAATATTAATAAAAACATAAGAATTTAGAATATTTTCACTTTTTTTATGAGTGCGGTCAGGGGATATTGTTGACCTGACCACACACTAGAAAGTGAAAGGACGACGACGTTTCGGTCCGTCCTGGACCATTCTCAAGTCGATTGTGATTTGAGAGAGATCGCCAATCGACTTGAGAATGGTCCAGGACGGACCGAAACGTCGTCGTCCCTTCACTTTCTAGTGTGTTGTCTGATCAACATATTTCAGCCACGTTATCGTGACTCCTCGTCTGAACAATATCAGGTTCAATAGAGCCATGCCTATTTGCTTTGATTGGATTGTTGACGCCGGAGGCTGCTAGTTTACTGCGCACCCCATACTCATCACTGTGAGGCGCTAAAAAGGATTACAGAGGGTACAAAAGAACTTTATCAGACCTCAATGGAGAATATTACATAAACAATTTTGCTAGTTAATCTTTTCCGGGTTCAAGTTCAAGTTCAAGTATGTTTATTGAGATAAACAATAAATACATCTCAAAGGGATAGAGTAGCTTAGGCTATTTCTACCCCCCCCCCCTCTTTTCCGGGAGCCCTAAACTAACAATTTTGAAGCAATTTAAATAACTTCATATAACAGCTATATAAAACTATTTATATAGCTGATACATGCTATTTATATAGCATGTATCAGACCACGGGAACATTATCTAACACAGTACAGTTACTAATTAAATAAGATTTCAATTAAGATTTAACAGACCAAAAGAAGTTGCTGAACACAGGACAGAATCTTACTGAAGCGAAGAGACGAGTCATATATGTATATATGACTATATATGTCATATATGACGCGTATATACACTGTCTAATTAAGATAGAAACAAGAAACGAGTTTCTATTCAAGTTTAAGTACGTTTATTGAGACAATGAAACACATCTCAAAGAGATAGGGTAGATTAGGCTATTAGGCTATACTCCCGGACGCAGGTTCGAATCCTCGTCACGGCCAAATACAAAGTACAAATCCACAAATCACAGTACAAGAATCACATTTTACATTGCAGGTTAATACATTGCAACACAGCATGTAAGTGTTACACTTGCGTGTAAATCATCTTAGAGTTTGATAAGAATAACCGTACGGATTAGATAATAGTAAAAAAAAATTCACCATAAATACAGGAATAATGAGATTATGGAAGAGAAAGTACATGTACTATGTGATGGATGTTGAACTTATGTTAATGTATTTGTAATGTACAATATGATTTATGTACTGTATAGATCTGTGAGCGGGTCCGTCTATTTACCCAAAGCTTCCCAAACTTACTCATAGGTACACTTAGCTTCCTAGCATTACATTAGTGATGAATAAATATGATACGTTTATTCATTATAATGTTGGTGCTGAATGTAGAACATGAAAAACATATTTTTCCTCTGAAAAAAGTATCATTTTATAAGGAAATTAGACGAAAATAAGAAGCTGGTGACGCCAAAGCAAGTCGACAGTCTAAGCGACAAATGTTTGCTGACTATATGAGCCTCTTGTGCCTACCTAACCTAACCAACCTACCCAAACCTAACCTAACTAAACCTATCCTATCTAAATATAAGTTAATATACCCTCTAATCAACAATATATCTGGAATAATTTGTTCATCTTGGATAAGTCGCTCCACAGCATTGTTGCTTGGATCGTCGACTACCTATATGGCCTGCCACCTAATTTCGTCTAATTTCGATATAAATATATATTATTTCACAGTAAAAATATGTTTTTTTCATGTTCTACATTCAGCACCAACAATATAGTGAGTAAATATGTCATATTTCTTCATTACTTATGTTATGCTAGGAAGCTTTGAGCAGATTTGGGTAGCTTTGGATTGGCTGAGACCCTCTCCTGGGACCTGAAATAAAGGAGATTAGATATAGCCTAATTCATTCTATCCTTTTGGGATGCATTTTAATATATCTTATATTATAACTTGAACTTGAGGAAGCTGGATTAGTCGTCTCCAGATGTTATGTCGGTCAGCTGTTTGGAGGATCATTGAAATTGAAATTAGAGGATCATTTGTAGTCTAGAACAGTACAAATTAAGGCGCGTGTTCATCCTTGAATAAGAAAATATAAAGGATGGTGTACTACTATTACTATCATCATCACCACCTAGTGAAGGGAGGCGTGCTTAAGCCTAGGGTGAGCGCGTGTTTATCCTAGAATAGAGTAAGAGTAGGCGCATGTTCATCCTGGGAGAGAAGGTGCGGTGTTTACACCGGTCAGCTGATCGATAACTGGAAGCTGGAGCTTTGGCAAGCACAGAATTGTGTAGCGGAGGAGGCAGTAGTGGTTCACTCACCAAGTTGAGCTCCGGCTCTTTAGTCCTGCCTCTCAACCGTCAATCTACTGATGTATAGGTTTCTGAACCTATGAGGCTCTATCATATCTACATTTGAAGCAATATGTGGAGCCTGACTCACTTCCTATTGGTTAACTACTCTAACACTGACAAAATTCTTTCTAATGTCTCTGTGATTCATTTGGGTAGTAATTTTATATCTGTGTCTCCCTTCTTCGTGTATCAACCGTGCTCAATAGTCTGTCCTTATTTACCTCTGTCAATTCCTTTGAAAATGTTGTAGGTGGTAATCATGTTTCCCCTTAACTCTTTTGTCTTCCAATGACGTGTGGGGTTTAATTCCAGTAGCCTTTCCTCGTAATTCAAACCTCTGAGCTCTGGGACTAGTCTGAACTTTCTATAACTTCATGTTGTGTTTGACTAGATATGGACTCCAGGCTGAAGCCGTATACTCCAGGATTGGTCTGACACATGTGGTATACAAGGAATGATACCCTACACAAGTTTCAATGTTGGTCAACTTTGCATACGCTGCTGATGATATTCTTTTATTGTGAGCTTCAGAGGGTAGGTTCGGTGTGATCCCAACCTCGAGATCTTTCTTCAACTGTTTCTTGAAGGATGTTATCTCTTAATTGGTACCTTGTGTCTGGCCTCCGGTCCCATGTGCCTATTTTCATTATTATACACTTATTTGAGTTAAACTCGAGTAGCCATTAATTGACTACTCGAGTTTAACTCAATCAATTTAAGTCAGATCGTCCGTCTGACTGCCCAAGCTATCTTGTTGTTTCTTGCTGTCCTCCTCCTCCTTAATCCCACTCATAATTTTGGAATCATCAGCAAACATTGAGAGGAATGAGTCTATGCTTTCAGCAAGATCATTTACATATATCATCAACAGGATAGGTCCGAGTACAGAACCCTGCGGGACTCCACTGGTGACATCACGCCATTCTGGGGTCTCACCCCTCACAGTAACTCGCCCCTTCCTTTAGCTTAGGTTCTCCCTTATCCACTGGTTCACCCTACTAGTTTAGTCTGTCCTCCTAAGTTTCTCAATGTCAAGAAAACGGTCAAAAATAAGGTGTCCTCTCCTAACCTACCAGAGGACACACAACAGAAAACGGGACAGTACGTCACTTTCGCCAGCCGCTTCCATTTTCTAATACGATAATTTTTGGCCTTATGTAACGCCTACGATCGAAATGCGACGTTTTTTGTAAGAGGACAGATTGTGGTAGTTATTCTTGCCTGTTCCTCCAACCTATGCACCAGCCTTTTATCGGGTATTGTGTTAAAGGCTTTTTGACCGGTTCATCTAATTACCCAAAGCTTCCTAACATCATGAAAGTAATGACTAAATATGATATATTTACTCGCTATAATGATGCTGCTGAATATAGAACACGAAAAAACATATTTTTACACTAAAATAATATAATTTTATAACGAAATGGGACGAAACTAGGTGGCAGGTGATGCCATAGGAAGCCGACAATCCGAGCAACAATGTTGTGAAACGACTTATCCAAGATATTGATTGATGAAGATTAAACCACCCAAAAGGTGGCACGGGCATGAATAGCCCGTAAGTGGTGGCCCTTTTGAGCCATTACCAGTATCAATAGATGATACTGGAGATCTGTGGAGGCGCGACTGCACCCTGCGTGACGGGAGATGTCTCCCGGACCAAGTGGTGACCAAATGGTTTACTAGTTGTGTTTTTACGGGGGTTGAGCTTTGCTCTTTCGGCCCGCCTCTCAACTGTCAATCAACTGTTTACTAACTACTTTTTTTTTTTTTTTTTTTCCCACACCACACACACACATACACCCCAGGAAGCAGCCCGTGACAGCTGACTAACTCCCAGGTACCTATTTACTGCTAGGTAACAGGGGCATTCAGGGTGAAAGAAACTTTGCCCATTTGTTTCTGCCTCGTGCGGGAATCGAACCCGCGCCACAGAATTACGAATCCTGCGCGCTATCCACCAGGCTACGAGGCCCCTGTAATGGTGTCCAAGATATGTTGTTGCCTGGAAGTTACGTTAGGTTAGGTTAGGTACAGGAGGCTGATATGCTTGCAAACATTCCATGCAACCATATATCTTGGATAAGTTGTTCCACAACATTGTCGCTTGGATCGTCGGCTTCCTATGGCGTCACCTGCCACCTAGTTTGGTCACAATTCGTGCCTTAATGCCTTACGTAAAGCTAACAAAGCCGTAATCTTATATAAACTAGTTAGTTTGGGCGTTAAAGGGAGATTATTGTGAGAGTAAGTGTGACGGGAGGATGTAGAATGTGTAGGGAAGAGGTAGAATGTGTAGGGAAGAGGTAGAATGTGTAGGGAAGAGGTAGAATGTGTAGGGAAGAGGTAGAATGTGTAGGGAAGAGGTAGAATGTGTAGGGAAGAGGTAGAATGTGTAGGGAAGAGGTAGAATGTGTAGGGAGGATGTAGAATGTGTAGGGAGGAGGTAGAATGTGTAGGGAAGATGTAGAATGTGTAGGGAGGAGGTAGAATGTGTAGGGAGGAGGTAGAATGTGTAGGGAGGAGGTAGAATGTGTAGGGAAGAGGTAGAATGTGTAGGGAGGAGGTAGAATGTGTAGGGAGGAGGTAGAATGTGTAGGGAGGAGGTAGAATGTGTAGGGAGGAGGTAGAATGTGTAGGGAGGAGGTAGAATGTGTAGGGAAGAGGTAGAATGTGTAGGGAAGAGGTAGAATATGAATAAGGTAGAGTGCGGAGAGGCTGACCACCGCCACATTATCAAGGAACAAATCTCCAACCAGTCAACGGTCAGTGCATTTTTCAGAGAAGCCTTGACTGGTGTTTGGGGGGGGGGGGCCGCCCCTCCCCCCTCCGCAACACCCACACTGCGGTGTATGCGAGGCTGGCTAACATCAGAACAGCCTTCAGCAAACTGTGTTCCTGAAGGTTGTGAAGGAATCATTCAGAACCTTGTATACCACGTATGTAAGACCAATCCTGGAGTATGCAGCCCCAGCATGGAGCCCGTACCTTGTCAAGCACAAGACGAAGCTGGAAAAAGTTCAGAGGTATGCCACTAGGCTAGTCCCAGAACTAAGAGGCATGAGTTACGAGGAAAGGCTGCGGGAAATGCACCTTACGACACTGGAAAACAGAAGATTAAGGGGAGACATAATCACTACCTACAAATTCCTAAGGGGAATTGACAGGGTAGACAAGGATAAACTATTCAACACTGGTGGGACGCGAACAAGGGGACACAGGTGGAAATTGAGTACCCACATGAGCCACAGAGACGTTAGAAAGAACCTTTTTCAGTGTTAGAGTAGTTAACATATGGAATGCATTAGGCAGTGATGTGGTGGAGGCTGACTCCATACATAGTTTCAAATGTAGATATGATAGAGCCCAGTAGGCTCAGGAACCTATACATCAGTTGATTGACAGTTGAGAGGCGGGACTAAATAGCCAGAGCTCAACCCCCGCAAGCACAACTAGATGAATATTATGCATTTATACTTTCAATGTTCGGGGAGGGAGCTATCATGGGAAAGCGCCAAGCCATTACGACTATATAGCACTTAGAAGGGATCATGATAAGGATTTGGGATGGGACGGGGGGAAAGGAATGGTGCCCAACTACTTGGACGGTCGGGGATTGAACGCTGACCTGCATAAAGCGAGACCGTCGCTCTACCATCCATCCCAAGTGGTTCCATGTTGACTGACTTTCGCCCTCCTGAGCTAAGGTATGCTGAACTCTGTAATTACTATATGAGTACTGGAACACTTGATGATATATTGGACTTGTACCCAAGATTGACCATGTAATATATCAATTATATAATGTATGTATGTGATGTAACTATATAACCTGAGCTTGTAAAAGCACCTTAATCACCTTCAGTGATTAAGTGCTTAATTGCACACTAGTTTCTCTGTCAGCTATCTCACCCTGTCAGAGTAAAAGAGACAAATGTATGTGAATGCATGTGTGTGTATATATGTATGAATATATGTATATGTACGTATGTGTGTGTATGTGTATGTATATGTATGTGTATAAAGTACATATGGAAGCTGATCAGAATTGTATTTCACCTTTGTAAATGCACATTAATGACACTTCGAACACTTTATGTAACATACATAAATCTGTGTATCTATGTATTTGCGTATGTAGCTTAGCCTAGCATTTTAAAAAGTACCGAATCACCTTCTGTGGTTGATTGTTCAATAAATCCCTGAACTATATATTTAACACATCTCTCACCCTGTCTATGGAGGACAGAAGAAAATATATATGTGTTGGTTAGCATTGTAAATGTGTGGCCACGTCTGTGGTTGAAAATAATAATAATAAAAAAAAAATCCCAAGTGGTTGGACTTTGGGAGGGGGGGGGGGAGGGAGGAGACAGATAGTGAGTGAGTGAAGTAGTTTGTGTATATACTATTTATTTTTACTGTGTGACCGCAGAATTGAACAGTTATCTCTTGGACAATTTCGTCTAGGTCATAGCATCCTCATGCTATCTTCCTCGGTCTTAATCCTCCTCATAATTTTTGCATCATCAGCAAACATTGAGAGGAACGAGTCTATACCCTCTGGGAGATCATTTACATATATCAGAAACAGTATAGGGCCAAGGACTGACCCCTGCGGGACTCCACTGGTGACGCCTCGCTACTCCGAGACCTCACCCCTCACAGTGACTCGCTGTCTTCTGTTGCTTAGGTACTCCCTTATCCATTGGAGTACCTTCCATTTTACTCCTGCCTGCATCTCCAGCTTATGCACTAGACTCCTATTAGGTACTGTGTCAAAGGCTTTCTGGCAATCCAAAAATATTCAGTCTGCCTACCCCCTTTTTTTTTGTCTAATATGTGTCGCCTGGTCATAGAATTATAAATTAATCCCATGAAGAAAGATTTGTCATCGTTGAACCTGTGCTGGAGATGTGTTACGTAGTTCTTTTGCTTCAAATGTTCTACTAGTTTTTTTCGCACAATCTTCTCCATCAGCTTGCATGGTATGCAGGTTAGGGACACTGGCCTGTAGTTCAGTGCCTCCTGTCTATCCTCCTTCTTGTATATCCGGACTACATTAGCCGTCTTCGAATTTTTTGGCAGTTCTCCTGTTTCCAATGATTTCTTAAACACCTTGAGAGTGGCAGGCACAGTGTTTCTGCGCCTTCTTTTAGTATCAAAGGGGAGATTCCATCTGGGCCTATAGCCTTTGTCACATCCAACTCTAGCAAATCTTCCTCACCTCCCCACTGGTAATCTTAAACTCCTCCAGTGGTGCCTGGTTAGCTAGTCCCTCTCTTTGAAACTTCTCCTTGCTCTAATGTGAAGACCTCCTGGAATTTCTTATTTCATTCCTCATACATTTGTTTGTCATTTGTAGTGAACCCTTCTGCCCCTATCCTTAGTTTCATTACCTGTTCCTTCACCGTTGTTTTTCTCCTGATGTGGCTATGCAACAATTTAGGCTGAGTCTTTGCCTTGCTTGCTATGTCATTTTCGTATTGTCTTTTTGCCTCTCTTATCACCCTGACGTATTCATTCCTGGCACTCTGGTATGTTTCTCTGCTCTCAAGTGTTCTGATATTTCTATAATTTCTTAATGCCCTTGTACTTAGTTGCTTTGCCAGCTTACATCTCTGATTAAATCATAGGTTCCTCATTTCCAATTCGTTTTTTCCCTTTGGACTGGAACAGACTTGTCTGCTGCCTCCTTACCTTTCTGGGTAATGTAGCCTATCATGCCAAGGGCTGTCCTCTGAACTCTGTTTCCCATGTTATATTTATTAGGAATTTTCTTATCTTCTCATAGTTTCCCTTTTGGAAAGCCAGCCTTTTGTTTTCCGGTCCCTTCCTTGAGTACGTTAACCCTTCTTCGAGCAGATACTCAAACATCAGTCACACTGGCATTGCTCATTCCCACGATGGCTTCGAAGTTCATTTTCCTTATTTCGGGTTCCCTTATCTTGAGGTTATCTTGAGATGATTTCGGGGCTTTTTAGTGTCCCCGCGGCCCGGTCCTTGACCAGGCCTCCACCCCCAGGAAGCAGCATGTGACAGCTGACTAACACCCAGGTACCTATTTTACTGCTACGGTTCGTTCAAAGTGAACACCAGGTTAAGTCTAGCTGCCTCTCGTTCAGGTGGGTCCCCTGACATGCTGGCTTAAGAAGGAAGGAGGACAATGGGATGGGAGACAGGAATGGAAGAGATGCCTGGGCTGGAGGAATAGGGGAAGAGCATGGGTTGGAGAATCATGGGCGGAATGGGGTGGGAAAACATAGCAGATATGGGTTGGAGATGGTTCTCTAATGGTTGGAGATGGTTCTCTGATGATTGGAGATGGTTCTCTAATGGTTGGAGATGGTTCTCTAATGGTTGGAGATGGTTCTCTAATGGTTGGAGATGGTTCTCTAATGGTTGGAGATGGTTCTCTAATGGTTGGAGATGGTTCTCTAATGGTTGGAGATGGTTCTCTAATGGTTGGAGATGGTTCTCTAATGGTTGGAGATGGTTCTCTAATGGTTGGAGATGGTTCTCTAATGGTTGGAGATGGTTCTCTAATGGTTGGAGATGGTTCTCTAATGGTTGGAGATGGTTCTCTAATGGTTGGAGATGGTTCTCTAATGGTTGGAGATGGTTCTCTAATGGTTGGAGATGGTTCTCTAATGGTTGGAGATGGTTCTCTAATGGTTGGAGATGGTTCTCTGATGGTTGGAAAGGTTCTCTAATGGTTGGAAAGGTTCTTTAATGGTTATAGAGGTTCTCTAATGGTTGGAGAGGTTCTCTAATGGTTGGAGAGGTTCTCTGATGGTTTGGAGAGGTGTAGGTGATAACTTGAGGAGAAGAGTTGTGGGATGGGATAATGGGCGGCATCTGTTACATTCCTCTTTGGGGATGCTAGTTTGCTGGTGGAGGGTTTCCCACTCCCTTCTGAGGTAACTAAAGATACTGGACTGAGGCCTGTTGTTCCCCTATTCCCTTTCTTGGGTCTCTTTCTTGCTTCTGCTGTTCTGTCTCTTCCCTCGTCTTGTCTCTCTACAGAAAAACATTCTTGCATTCCGTTACCCACAGAAGATTGCTCTTTCTGAATAGGATTGGCTCATTCATGAGCACTATCTTTATCAGTCGCTTCCTTTCCTGCTTGTAGCCTTCGTGTGTGTGTGTGTGTGTGTGTGTGTGTGTGTGTGTGTGTGTGTGTGTGTGTGTGTGTGTGTGTGTGTGTGTGTGTGTGTGTGTGTGTGTGTGTGTGTGTGTGTGTGTGTGTGTGTGTGTGTGTGTGTGTACTCACCTAGTTGTGCTTGCGGAGGTTGAGCTTTAGCTCTTTGATCCCGCCTCTTGACTGTCAATCAACTGGTGTACAGGTTCCTGAGCCTACTGGGCTCTATCATATCTACATTTGAAATGTGTATGGCGTCAGCCTGTGTTAGTTTACACTGTGTGATGGTTTGTGTTAGTTTACAGTGTGTGATGGTTTGTGTTAGTTTACAGTGTGTGATGATGTGTGTTAGTTTACAGTGTGTGATGATGTGTGTTAGTTTACAGTGTGTGATGGTTTGTGTTAGTTTACAGTGTGTGATGGTTTGTGTTAGTTTACACTGTGTGATGGTTTGTGTTAGTTTACACTGTGTGATGGTTTGTGTTAGTTTACACTGTGTGATGGTGTGTGTTAGTTTACACTGTGTGATAGTGTGTGTTAGTTTACACTGTGTGATGGTGTGTGTTAGTTTACAGTGTGTGATGGTTTGTGTTAGTTTACAGTGTGTGATGGTTTGTGTTAGTTTACAGTGTGTGATGATGTGTGTTAGTTTACAGTGTGTGATGATGTGTGTTAGTTTACAGTGTGTGATGATGTGTGTTAGTTTACAGTGTGTGATGGTTTGTGTTAGTTTACACTGTGTGATGGTTTGTGTTAGTTTACACTGTGTGATAGTGTGTGTTAGTTTACACTGTGTGATAGTGTGTGTTAGTTTACACTGTGTGATGGTTTGTGTTAGTTTACACTGTGTGATGGTTTGTGTTAGTTTACACTGTGTGATAGTGTGCGTTAGTTTACACTGTGTGATAGTGTGTGTTAGTTTACACTGTGTGATGGTTTGTGTTAGTTTACACTGTGTGATGGTTTGTGTTAGTTTACACTGTGTGATAGTGTGTGTTAGTTTACACTGTGTGATGGTTTGTGTTAGTTTACACTGTGTGATGGTTTGTGTTAGTTTACACTGTGTGATAGTGTGTGTTAGTTTACACTGTGTGATGGTTTGTGTTAGTTTACACTGTGTGATGGTTTGTGTTAGTTTACACTGTGTGATGGTGTGTTAGTTTACACAGAGTGATGGCTTGTGTTAGTTTACACTGTGTGATGGTTTGTGTTAGTTTACACTGTGTGATGGCTTGTGTTAGTTTACACTGTGTGATGGTTTGTGTTAGTTTACACTGTGTGATGGTGTGTGTTAGTTTACACTGTGTGATGGTGTGTTAGTTTACACTGTGTGATGGTGTGTGTTAGTTTACACTGTGTGATGGCTTGTGTTAGTTTACACAGTGTGATGGCTTGTGTTAGTTTACACAGTGTGATGGCTTGTGTTAGTTTACACAGTGTGATGGTGTGTTAGTTTACACTGTACCATCAAGCATCTACGAAAGCTATTCATCTTTCCACAATCATGGTGGGTTTGTTGACATTCATCAAACAGCTGATGATGAGCCTCAGAGGCCTGCCAGGCTGTCTATACTAATTATAACCAAGTTTTGATGTTCCCAAAGGCGTAAAATGTTTAATAAATACAATAAAAGTCGCCATGGCCGAGGAAAGATGGAACAGGCTTCATAAGCGGTTGAGTAAATATTTGAATTCTGGATTTAGTATTGCGTGGGCGGAGCTGTAGTCAACTGTAGCCATGGGTGTAGGATCTGACTCTCTCTCTCTCTGGAGGGAGATCCAGCTCTTTAGGGTTTCATAATACAGTATAATGTATCAGTTACGTGATTCAATTCCATTTTGGCTGTTGTGCCGGAGTTTCAAGATGGCGGCTGGTGCCCCAGATGGTGCGCGGGCATCCGCTCAGCTGGTCTCAAGTGTCTGAATTTAGTGTCTGAATTCATTGTCTGAATTTAGTACATAGAGGATTTTTTTTCTTTTAAGAAGCCGACGTGAATCATTGCCATTAAAGAGGTTTTAATTGGTAATTCAGACAAGTGAAGAATTTGTCATTCAAATTGTCGTCATTAATTGCATGAGATTTATAACATGGTTAAGATGTAGTCAATGTAAGAGTTGTGGATGATAGTGTGGTTGTCAAGTATAGTGATTGAGCCACCATGTTGTTCCTGCAACCCCCTCCCCCTCCCCCCCTTGCAATAAGCTCCTCCCCATTGCACTCAACTACATCTCCCAATCATTTGATAGTAGGCGTGAGAAGCCCCTCCTCCTCCTGCAGGAGTGGCTGCAGGTGCCGAGGGCCTGGGCCCCCGGGGTGACCCCTGGGCCGCAGGAGGGGTCGCAGGAGGAGGTGGGTGAGGGGTCAGAGAGCCCCCCCTGCACGAGGGGAGCGCAGACCCCCACCATTTTGATAAGCGTTAACGAACGCGGCTCTTTCAACCCTTTCCGATGACGCAATCTGGCGCCCACCAATCACAGGCCTTCACCGCCCCTCCCGCCGGCCCGGGCCCTCCCCCCTTCCCGCCACACTATCTCTCCATCCCCTCGCTCTCTCTCCCTCTATCTCCTCTCCCTCTGCCTCTCCCACTCTCCCAGGTCACCGGGGGAGCACAGGGCAGCAGCCTGGTCCAATGTGAGGTGGTGTTGTAGCTGGATTTAAAGCCGTAATGGCTACCGGCTTGATCAAATATGATTGAGGCGGCGCGCTGATTGGCTGGTGGTGAGCACGTGACTGGGCCAGGCTCCGCCTTCCCACGCTTCATTACCACACAAAAATTTTGATTCATCGCTGCATATCCATAAATTAATTCACCTTTAATATACGTTCGCCAAGGCGGCCGCCGCCGGGAATGATGAAACTAGAAACAATAACTTGAAATCACACGTGTTTAGGGGGAGGAAATGTCTGATATTAATGTTTAAAATGAATTCATATTTTGGGGGAGAGACGAAAGGTGATGGAAAGACGCAAAGTGTTGTGGAAATAGTTGCGGGTTGCGGTGAGGCTCCGGCCGAGGCGGCTCAGTGATGGTGCTGACGAGGTCATGGAGACATGTCATCACGGAGGCTCCTGAAATGTTATGATTTGCAGCGCCCTCACACGCCCCCGAGAGCCTCACACGCCGCCGCGGCCGACCTCACACCTCACCGAGAGCCTCCATGGTCCTAACACCTGCATGTAGACGTGAGTAACCTCCCTGCCCCTCCTGAACACTCTCGGGGGCAGGTAGCAGCGTATATGTAGGGGAGGGGAAGGAACTAAAGCCCAACCGTTTAGTTACCCCGGAGGAGTTACCAGTGGTGTAAGGGGTTGGTGTAGAAGGTATGAGTGTGGTGAGGGAGAGAGTAGGCCTAGGCAAGGGTAGGCCTATAGGGAAGGGTAAGCCAGGTGGCCAGGTCCGTGAGAGTGCGGGAGAGCCGCTCTCCCGGGAACTGCGCCTACACCCACGTGTTGGCTAAATCTCACGGCCTCCGAGCCGCTTCAACTGCATAACTACCCAATTTTAGCCAAAATAGGCCTATACCACCCTCCCCCCCCCTCAGTGTTGCAAGCTGGAGCCTAATTCCTCAGCCTTGCAACGCGACGTGGAAAGTATTGAGCAGGAAACTGTTTTGGGTAAGTCTGCATGTCCCCCCTCCAGACTTAGGCCTATGCAGCGGCTGGTTGGTCCCAGCAGGCCTATGCAGACCCCATAGGCCTGCAGTTGTGGCCTGGCCTACCCCTCTCTCCCTCCCGCATGGCCGGCCCTCACTCGGCCTACCGGGAAACTGGGTTTTAAGAGAGATTTGTTAAGGGTTTTGTGATGGTTGAGACGAATGTTGAAGTGCATTGTTGGCTGGTTCCTCACGAGGCTTCTCTTGCTACAATATGGTTAGGCCTTAGGCCTACCTACCGCGTCTCCACTACGACATTTAGCTTGTGGTGGCACTTTTATTATACGCTAATGCAGGAGTGTATAATATATATATATATATATATATGTGTGTTTATCACGAAAATAAACACGTGATTAAAAATGTGACAGTGTCAGACCACGGAGGAAAATTGAAACAGGAATTTCCTTAAGTATTTTTATATATTAATACATCTTCAGAAGGAGTGTAGCACTCCAAGATGTATTAATATACTGAAGTACTTAAGCAAATTCCTGTTTCAATTTTCCTCCGTGGTCTGTCAGTCATATATATGTATGTATATATGTATGTATGTATGTATGTATGTATGTATGTATGTATATACATATAAATATATTTTTGAGGGGGTTGAGCTGCTCTTTGGATCCCTCCGTCAATCATGGAGTCAGCCTCCACCACATTACTGCCTAAGTGATAACTGACAGTTAACTCAACAGTTAATCATTCGTTAACTGACACATACCAAATTTATACCGTGTCTGTGGCTCCTTTGGGTACTGTGTTTCCACCTGTGTTCCCTTGTGCGTGTACCACCCGTGTTATATAGTTCATTGGCTAAGCTGTCAGTTGTCCCTGTTTATTCTGTGTTTGCTGGGGAAAGAAATGTATGACAATAAAAAGTAATTTGCATACGTACCAATGCTGCAGTTGTCGGGCGGGTGGGAGAGATGGTTGTCATGGTGGCGAAGACTGTGTTGTCAGTGGGGGAAGGGCCGTTGTTGTTGTCAGTGGGAGAAGGGTCTTGTTGTCAGTGGGAGAAGGGACTTGTTGACAGTGAGGGAAGAGCCTTGTTGTTGTTGTCAGTGGGAGAAGGGACTTGTAGACAGTGAGGGAAGGGCCTTGTTGTTGTCAGTAGGGGAAGGTCCTTGTTGTTGTTGTTCAGTGGGAGAAGGGACTTGTTGACAGTGAGGGAAGGGCCTTGTTGTTGTCAGTGGGAGAAGGGACTTGTTGACAGTGAGGGAAGGGCCCTGTTGTTGTTGTCAGTAGGGGAAGGTCCTTGTTGTTGTTGTCAGTGGGAGAAGGGACTTGTTGACAGTGAGGGGAAGGGCCTTGTTGTTGTTGTTGTCAGTGGGAGAAGGGACTTGTTGAGAGTGAGGGAAGGGCCTTGTTGTCAGTGGGAGAAGGGACTTGTTGACAGTGGGGGAAGGTCCTTGTTGTTGTTGTTGTCAGTGGGAGAAGGGACTTGTTGACAGTGAGGGAAGGGCCTTGTTGTTGTTGTTGTTGTCAGTGGGAGAAGGGACTTGTTGACAGTGAGGGAAGGGCCTTGTTGTTGTTGTTGTCAGTGGGAGAAGGGACTTGTTGACAGTGAGGGAAGGGCCTTGTTGTTGTTGTCAGTAGGGGAAGGTCCTTGTTGTTGTTGTCAGTGGGAGAAGGGACTTGTTGAGAGTGAGGGAAGGGCCTTGTTGTTGTCAGTGGGGGAAGGTCCTTGTTGTTGTTGTTGTCAGTGGGAGAAGGGACTTGTTGAGAGTGAGGGAAGGGCCTTGTTGTTGTTGTCAGTGGGGGAAGGTCCTTGTTGTTGTTGTTGTCAGTGGGAGAAGGGACTTGTTGACAGTGAGGGAAGGGCCTTGTTGTTGTCAGTGGGGGAAGGGCCTTGTTGTTGTTGTTGTCAGTGGGGGAAGGGCCTTGTTGTTGTTGTTGTCAGTGGGAGAAGGGCCTTGTTGTTGTTGTTGTTAGTGGGAGAAGGGCCTTGTTGTTGTTAGTGGGAGAAGGGCCTTGTTGTTGTTAGTGGGAGAAGGGCCTTGTTGTTGTTGTTAGTGGGAGAAGGGCCTTGTTGTTGTTGTTAGTGGGAGAAGGGCCTTGTTGTTGTTGTTAGTGGGAGAAGGGCCTTGTTGTTGATGTTGTCAGTAGGAGAAGGGCCTTGTTGTTGTTGTCAGTGGGAGAAGGGCCTTGTTGTTGTTGTTATCGTCAGTGGGAGAAGGGCCTTGTTGTTGTTGTTGTCAGTGGGTTAGGGCCTTGTTGTTGTTGTCAGTGGGAGAAGGGCCTTGTTGTTGTTGTCAGTGGGAGAAGGGCCTTGTTGTTGTTGTCAGTGGGAGAAGGGCCTTGTTGTTGTTGTCAGTGGGAGAAGGGCCTTGTTGTTGTTGTCAGTGGGAGAAGGGCCTTGTTGTTGTTGTCAGTGGGAGAAGGGCCTTGTTGTTGTTGTTGTTGTCAGTGGGAGAAGGGCCTTGTTGTTATTGTTGTCAGTGGGAGAAGGGCCTTGTTCTTGTTGTCAGTGGGAGAAGGAACACTTGTTCTTGTTGTCAGTGGGAGAAGGAACACTTGTTCTTGTTGTCAGTGGGAGAAGGAACACTTGTTCTTGTTGTCAGTGGGAGAAGGAACACTTGTTCTTGTTGTCAGTGGGAGAAGGAACACTTGTTCTTGTTGTCAGTGGGAGGGAGAACATGCTGATGTTTGAAAGGGGGGGGGGATAAATATGAATAAAACCAATATTGTAACCGGGGGGGGGTAATAGGAATAAAATGGATGGATGGAGAGTAAGGGAGAAGTTAGAGGAGGGAGGGAGAGGTAAGGGGGGGGGGAGAAGCGGTCCATCAGAGGTCCGCGGTTGTTCAACACCCTCCCAGCGAGCTTAAGAAATATTGCCGGAACAACCGTGGACATCTTCAAGAGGAAACTAGATTGTTTCCTCCAAGGAGTGCCGGACCAACCGGGCTGTGGTGGGGTATGTGGGCCTGCGGGCCGCTCCAAGCAACAGCCTGGTGGACCAAACTCTCACAAGTCAAACTTGACTTACTAGGATGATTTGTTAGATTTGTTAAATCATCCTAGCCAGTTACTAGGATGATTTGGCTACCTTCCTTCCTGGTGGTGGTTCAGAGGATCAATGTCCCTGTGGCATTGGCTTTGATCCGGCCTCCTGGTTGGTGGTCTGGTCAACCAGGCTGTTAGATGCGGCTTCTTGCAGCCTGATGTATGAATCACAGCCTGGTTGCTTGATAAAATTAGTGTCATACGAGATATTACAGGAAGTATACAGTATGTATATCCAAATAGGGATTATCTTGAGATGATTTCGGGGCTTAGCGTCCCCGCGGCCCGGTCCTTGACTAGGCCTCCATTTTGTTATGTACGCCCCCCCCCCAGGAAGCAGCCTGTAGCAGCTGTCTAACTCCCAGATACCTATTTACCGCTAAATGAACAGGTGCATCAGGGTGAAAGAAACTGCCCATTTGTTTCCACCTCCACCGGGGATCGAACCCGGAACCTCAGGACTACGAATCCTGAGCGCTGTTCACTCAGCTGTCAAACTCCAGGCGCCAGGGGTGTTATACAATTAACAGAACAGTATGTAAATATCAGAGATTCATTACTCTTTTTTTTTCTCCAACTTTCTACCAGCAAATTTATTTATTTATTTTTATTTATTTATATACAAGAAGGTACATTGGGATTGTGAGGATACATAGCATAGTAATTACATTCTTGTAATGCCACTAGTACGCGCAGCGTTTCGGGCAGATATAATATTATTACCAAGATAATATTAATTACCAAATATATTATTATTACCATGATTCAGGTTACTGACGATGTTATGTAGATTACAGTGGTGACCTGTAAAGCTCGAGTAGCCCAGCTGACCTAACCAGTATGATGAAAGCCTTGCTCCAACCTAGAATATAAGGAGAGAAAACAAATTAAAAGTTCTTGAAACTGACCACCTGTAATGAATTCAACCTTAAAGCTTTCCAGTGTGTTCATGATGTTACTGGTAACTTGTTGCACAGATCTGCAACCCAATTTTCAAAGAAATGATACTGTATATATTTTTTTTGTGGATTTAAATTTATCTAATTTGGATTTATTGTCTTTGTAATTTATACACTATAACCGTGTCTTACTCTACTTTTTTTTGTCTAAGGAATATAAATGGAATTTTCTTAGTCGAGATGTAAAGAAAAGTTCGAATGCCTGGGATTAAGTCTTTTTCTCTGCCTGCAGAACTGACATTCATTGTATAGTAAATAACTACAACTTTTTGCATAAACTCCTTGCATGACGTCTCGCGATGCAACCCATTTCTAAATTTGCCAATTTGTAAAAAAAAAAAAAAAATATGCAATTGTTTGCCTCACCAGAAATGTACAAACCCCAGCAACCCACCTAACTTACCGAGAATGGCAAGGTAAAGTTCAAGGATAACATTAGAGTTATCACTTACCAATACTTTACACTATAACGATAGTTATAACACCAATAAGTGTTATAATACTTACCAATCCTAATTGATAGGATTTTTATTTGAACCTATTGACTAAATTTTGACAATTTATGCATGCATTTTTTTTTGTTATATAACAGATCATTTTCATTATTTGATTTTGTAAGTCACGTTATTCAGGTGATATTGGTAATTTTTTTTTCAGTTAGGCTTACAGGGGGTCAATATTTGTCAACTTTTAACTACTGTACTGCCAATTTTCAATCCATTTCTCTGTAATTATCTCATCTTTTGTTTTAAGTTGTTACCTTCTGTAATTTTCTGTAACATAGTTTACTAATGCATTGCCATTGTATACCAGCCTGACCCCCCCCCTCCCCCTGGAAACACAAATCGTAACTGTCTCTATTTTCCGCTTGTTACAGCTTGTAATAAAGTTGTTACATATTGGCTTAACGTGTTTATGACATTAGAACGTTGTTACAACTTGCTGTATTGGTTGTTATAACTGGTTAGCAGATGTTTAAAAAAACTTGTTCGAACGTTGTACCAACGTCGTAGTTTAACTATTACGGGATAGTCGGTTTTCGTACGAGTTTCTGGCTAATTAATATTGCTTCACTAATGGGAACTACAATTAAGCAGGACTTGTAAGGCCTATTTCAAGAGGAATTGGGTTTTAAATGAAGCTTTTGTTTAAAGGCAAAATATCCTGATGCAGGAAAGTTGACAGCATAAATTAAAGGAATGAACATCCATAAGCTGGGTTGATTTATTCAGGAGGCACACTGGCTTTGGGGATGGCACCATACTTCAGGTTAAGCGTATACAAGGTTATTAGTATACAAGTTCAAGTATGTTTATTGAGATAAGCAATAAATACATCTCAAAGGGATAGAGTAGCTTAGGCTATTTCTACCCCCCTTTTTAGTATTAGTATACAGTACATAGAATGAATTCCTGCACCAGCATAACCCAATCCAGCATAAAATCTAAACATTCCCAGGGTGTTTAGATTTACTGCATTGTAGGTGCATTCACTGCAAAAAATTTAGTAGGCGTCCAGGTGAAAGATTCATACTAGAATTGGTTTTGTTAATACTGGTTCAGTAATAGGGTTGTTGATTTGTGGAACCAACTGCCGCGTAACGTGGTGGGGTCCCTCGATTGTTTCAAGCGCGGGTTGGACATGTATATGAGTGGGGATTGGGTGGTTATAAATAGGAGCTGCCTCGTATGGTCCAGTAGGCCTTCTGCAGTTACCTTTATTCTTATGTAATAAATGTACAAGAACTCAATTGATATTTATGTCGAGTAAAGGAAAGGTTTTATCAAAAGCAGTAATTTTTAATGATGATAGACTGGATGGTTAAGTGCCAGTCTTGTCCTACAGACCTGGCATTTTAATCCCCTCAATATTTACATCATTCTGTACTCATATTCCATGTTCTTGGCCTCGTATCCTTGAAGTACTCTATACAGTAGTTACACTGGCCCCAGTTCCTTACTGGCTGATACCT